CCTGGAATATGTCATAGCAAAATTGAAGGCACGCGGCTAGCTTTTGTTTTTATCTTAGGTAGAAAAGAATGTATTTTCAGGACATAAATATTGTTGGTCGCATTTCATTATGACGTTATGCATGAAAATAGCACACAGATTAACACTTCCGGTATTCATACCAGGTGAACCTCTTGCTTAAGATAAAAGGAGCAAAGTGAAAATATATTTCAGGAAAAAATAAAAACATATGGACAGTTTTGACAACTCTTAAGCTTGCTTTTTTACTGTTTCAGATTGCAGCGGCGCAACTGTTGGCACGAGTCATTGTAACACTAGGATACATACCTCCGGGTGACGGAATGCGTTTATTGTTTGAGAGGCTGCACGGGCAATTGTCAGCAGAAGACATGGTATTATACATTACAGTTCCCCTGGGCAGGGTTCAGCAGATCAGACGACAATATTTCTTATTTCTCGGAAGCAGCCGGCAGTTATATCAGATCATTATACCAAGTCATACTGACACATTAAAACCCTGGTCTATATAAACGTCTCCTTTCTGACATTGAGTCAACATGTTACACTTCGTCCATGGCATTGCTCAAAACAGATGTTATCGTTTATGCATAATCATCCAGATGTATAGAGTATTGTTTCAAATGTATCTATTTAACATATATGAGGGTATGCAACACAGTTCCGTTCCAACATAATCCATGATGCGCGTAGGAGCATCTTGGAGAACATGTTTAAACGGAACTGTGTTGCATACTTTCATATAATTCAGTCCTGTCGGTACCCGATTGTTTAGGTACCTAGGAATTAGGATGTTTCGATACTTTTTATGAAGACGGAAAATACTGAAAATTTCTAGAATATTAAATGGCAACATGGTGCGGTAAAGCTGTTTACTTTCTGCATCGACCTGCTAAGCATTCCTTTACTTCGTTTTTCACGATTATTATTCCATAAAATCATACGTTAATGGATCCTGTGGGACATACTCTATATCTGATTATCATATTTGTGTGTGTTTTACAGGCTGAGGTTCTGGAACTGGCACAGATTTTTGTGGAAGAGTTACCTGACCGGATAATTACGTCCGAGCATGACGACGAATTGCCGACACTTGGGACCCGCGTGCGGCGTGGTCCGGGCTGGAAGCATCAGGACCAGGACTCTGAAGGCGTGGGGACCGTGTGCAGCCACGGGAAGGATGGTATTTATAACGCATCAACAGTTCCTTGTATAGTATAAAACTTCATGATCTGATAACGTGTTCATTGAATACTCTTTGGTCGCTTATCACTTATCTTTATTAGTGTTTTCGTATCAAAATCTACTTGTATTTTTATGTTCTTTATAGTAAATGTTGCGGTGCTCGCGCTGTTTGGTACTACACTCCTAAAAGCCCGGGAGAGGGTAGGGCTTAGGAGGGGTTGGGGGTGTTACAGATTTGCACTCCGTCCGTCCAAGAGTTTGTCCGGTGTCTTCTACACTACTTTTCCTGGAGTAACACAACTTGGTATGCAAGAATATCTTGGGAAGGCGGAGTGTCGAGTGCAAAAAGAAGTTCCCTGCGCCCTATAGTTAGACCTTTGATATCAACGTTTTTGAAATATAATTGTCCGGGAATATCTTCTTTAACATATCATCTGGAGTAGCTGGATTGGGTATGCATGTATGTCCTGGCTGTCGGTGTGTGGTGTACAGGAAGTATGTCACTGTGACCTATATCCTGAGATAGGTGTACAGCTGGATAAACAAAGACATTGTTGCTGCTGAGGGACTATGGATTGCCTTGGAATACTTTTAATTGTTTCGCTTTTTGGTTTTTAAATCTTCTTGTTTTATCTTAGTACACACGCACTGTGTCAATAATAATATCACTGTACGCCTGTTTAATTGTAAGGGGTAGTAATCTTGCATGGTTTTCGGGAAATTGTGCAAAGAAGGCATTGTATTTTTGTTTTATCTGAATTCTGTGCACGCCCTTTTATGCCATTGTTGACTTCCTGTACATGTTATTCGTTTACATCTTATATATGTTAACTTACTTCATACGCTACTCACTCCTGTATGCTGTGTTACTGCCCTACATAAGTTATTTATTTTTTGACAGAGTTTTATGCTGCAAATAGATATTGTTCATTCTCTTTATGCTTTGTTTACTTCGTATATACATAGTTTATTCTCCAAAAACATATTTTCCCTATCTATGTTGTTCTTTTCGTATGAAATGATGTCAACTTTGCGTGAAAACTTTACAATAGTATTAATAATAAAGCTTAAACAATTGGTAACAATGTCATAAGTTAATATAAAATAGGTACTTACACAATACGGTTGTAAGCAAATAACCTTTTTAACGATAAACAAAAACGTATTACACGTTACTCATTTTTTCCATAGGCAAGGTGTGGGTTGAGTGGGACAACGGGAACAGGAATTGCTACGATTACAAGAATGAAACGAAAGATGTCAAGGCTGCAAACGAACCCAAGGTTCTTAAGTCTGATGAGTTGATTGCTACAGGATGTCGGGTAACAAGAGGTAGGTTGTTTCACGATGTCAGGTTACGAGAGGAAGGTCATTGTCGTACGTCAAGTTACTAGAGGTAGATTGTTACCGAATGTCGGGTTATCTGTACC